TCAGTATTGGACCGGGCACTGTCCCGAATGGTCCCGAATGATACCGCACTTGTGTCCCTTTGAACTTCAGTCGTATAATAAATCTCTTATTAACCAAGCTTGCTCGGGACCGTACTGGAAGAATATCGGCCCTCGGTCTTTTTTTGTACGGACCTCGCTGCGCTCGGTCCGTACTGTCAAGACCTCGGACCGATATTCTCCCAGTACGGCCCTCGCGCTTGGTTAATAAGAGATATGTATCTGCCTGACCGTCAATACGTGCGATCTTGATGCGCTTATATGGAAAACCTATCCACTATATGCCCTGACGATCACTGGCAAGCGAACCCTCCCTTCCGAGACACGATGGGAAAGTGAAGGTTCTACCTTTTACTACTATAAAGCCAGCCATAACGTCACCGCTTGCAAAGGCAATCAGTCAAAGGTATCGAGTCCCAGTCACCCCTCAACTGTCCAGTGAATTTAACAGAAAATAGTGTCAAGCACGTCTCTTATGCTCCCGTTTAGGGGACATACAAATCAGTTTTGACGAGCTGGCTATTAGGAAGTTATGTCGTAATTCGATTAAACGCCGCTGACAACTTTCGACTGTGCAGGGCGGTGCTTGGGACAAGTAGCTATGGTGATCGCGCTTTGTTTATCTTGAGCACCCGCGCTTTCCGTTAGCCATGAGGTTCGCCCCGTCCGTTGACATTTTAAAAACAGACTTAAAACTTTTTTAGTCAATCTTTGAGCGTGTCAATCTTTGTTTAGTTTTTACATTATAATTAGTTGTTGTACAGGTTTCACTCAATCCTAAATTACTACAATTTTTATAAGGGCATTGAGATTTGACTGCGCTATAAATAAATTAGTGGTATTATTATTACTAATTTTTGAGTTTAAATCAATTGTAAACGCTTATAGTCGAAAGAAAATCGTAAATTGCATTTCTCCTTATTCGACCTTCCTTCTGTCTTGAAATTGTGCTTCTTTCGAGTTTGATCTTTTTTTTTTTTACGCTTTGTTTCTAACAGGAAATCCTGGAAAATAAAGATGTAAAATTGGATCACATGTTCATCTCTTCACTGGTTAATGACATAGCGAAGGTAATCAAGAACGATAACGCAGTGCAGTAATGGCTATAAGCCAGTTACTACAACAACGAATATTGACAAAACCTGTGTCGAAAAACTACCGACACTGGATGATGATTTCCGGAGATAGTTGATTGCGAATGTCACGGACTTACTAATTTACTTACATGCACGAACATGACAAAAAATGAAATATGAAAGAATAGTCCTCTCTGTTTTTTTGTTAGTTAACTTGATCATTGGTCGTAAGGTCTGATCCTCCGAAGAAGTGAAGTCTCAAAAAAGTTTGTCGTCGGTGACTCCGACTGACGTTTTGACAACCTGATGGGAAGTCATCGTTAGAATGAGATATTAGCAATTTATTAACTTGTTAGCGTCTTTCGCCCTCATTGTCATTCACTGTTGTCGTCAAGATCGACAGTAACTATTGTATTATTGTATTATTCGCTCCGACGAAGGGCTAACGCTCGAAACGTCAGCTTTTGTAATCGTTACGGTGGCCAATTTACCATTTCAACTTTGTTGATATATCCAAATTATATTGTAGTATAAAACTATTCTTACAATAAAGTTTGGCTCCTATTTTTTTCTCATCTTTAGGGCATGGGTCATCTTCATCACACGGACATCAAGTCACACGGAAGTCTTAAGTCTTCCAATTGTTTAGTGGATAGCCGCTGGGTACTAAAAATTGCAGACTACGGTCTTCCGACCTTTCGTTCGAAACGGACGAAAACTTATAAATATACCGAATCTTACTACGAAGGTAGGTTACACTCTTTTTAACCTGGAATTTGCGAAGTTAGTTTATGTGCATTCTGAGTCTGTGCACAGAGGTACAATGGTACGTGGGAGTTTCTAGTGGTTCCCTGATCTCTAAGGGGACCAGTCATTATTTATCGGGGGGGGTTTGAGGATTTTGGGGAGAACGGAGGGGGAAATCAGTCGTCAGACTATAAAAAAAAATTGCTACCAATTTACTGCCAACAAGGGTAGGTCATAATATCATAGGGCCTTATGGAGGAGCGGGTAAATTTTATCGTGACACAAGCAAAATCCTCCGACCCGACCGGGCGATAGACAATGGCCCGTTCCTTATGAGCCATGATAACACGGACAGCTGGAATAATCACGCCCCGTTACGCCTGAGCTTGTGCACAAGAGGCGTTTCATGGTATTTTTTGAAGTTCCCAATTTGCTAATAGTTCTTTTTCCTAAAGTAAAAAATTATTAAGATAAAAGAAAAATTAAACCTCAGGTGATTCACTGATTAACTTAAGAGTACGTTAAGTTCTTTATACGAAACAAACTTGTGTAGGTGTCAGAGTTAACTCTTGAACTCTCAAGATCTGATAGTTAATTCTCCTCTCCAGATGCTACGCGTTTCCTTGTGAAATAGTTACGAGAACTTGGTGTTAGATCAAGATAACAACTGCTACCTTATAATTATCTCATATCCAACAAGCGCGAGTGGAATAATTGTTTTATTAAAAAAAAACGCCCCCAAGATATTAGACAAATCTTCTCGGCTTTATTTTGTAAGAAGAAACCGGATGTTACAATGTACAGATATTAGATTATGGTATATTGGCTCATATACCATAATGGCTAAGCCAATAAAAAGTCTTGAATTGCATTATCCAATGATCCAGTTTTTAATAATTTTGAGTATTCGCATTACCTGTTTGCTAGATAATGTATTGATATGAAAAGGAGAAGTTACATGTTTATCGCTTCCAAGAGTTGAAGGGTTGACTCACGGTGAAATCATTACACACCATGAAGTTTCAGAGCGAATTAACTAAAAATTTAATATAATTTGATAATTTAATCTAACATTTTTAATAAAACAATTATTCCACTCGCGCTTGTTGGATATGACATGATTATAGCCAACTCGGCGCTACGCGCCTCGTTGGCTATTTATCATCTCATATCCAACGCGCGCTCGTGGAATAATTGTTAAGTATAATTACATAACCATAACTCTCATTCAAACCTTTTGGAGCTCTGTTAGTTTTACAAACCCTTGTAAGACCACTGATCAGCAAGCCAGGCAATAAAAAATTACCTTAGCGATACGTCAATGAAAGAGTGACTTAATGTTCACTTTGATCCTCAGAAATTATAAAAAGAGTTACAGAAGCCGAAATACCGCCATTTCGCCCTACGGTCGTGAGCCTTATCACAGGTGTGGAAGAGCTCAGAGAATTGATGAAATCATGCTGGGAGGAAAAGCC